GGAATCGGTAGTATTTTTATTCGAAGAAGACATAGTATCAGAATTTATGTACGTGTTAATTGTAAAATTGTCAATCTTGTCTCTTGAATATAAAATACAATTTTCTTTTGTGGTTAATATTTTTATCTTGCTTCAGTATAATAAAATATTTTTAAACATGTAATAATAATAACAAATCACAATTAAATGAACAAAACAAATTTTGTTTTAGCATAAATTAATATGTCAAAAATGATTCATATACAAGACAAAAAATTCCATAAGTCTAGAGGACTTGAGCCCCTATTCAGTAATATAACAAAGGATTTAATTTGATGAATGCACCTTGCAACTTTAAAAATTATAAGTTGAGAGGACACGAACCTCTATTTATTAATACAGAATTGAATTAATAAATGCACCATGCACATTAAAGAAAAATTTATAAGTTAAGAGGACTCGAACCTCTATTCATCAATACCAATATAAGATGTATATTTATGAATGCACCTTGCGACTTAAATCTTGAATAATGTTATCAATTAGCATAAAATGTGTTAAATTAATAAAAATCTTTTTTTTTTAATGTTACTGATTAATTTCAATTATTGTATGTTGATATTATTTGTTATTATTATTTGTTACTCAAAAAAAAAAATTTCCCTTTTTTTACAAATGGTATACTCATTGATTCATTTATTTTTTTTAATTATTTCGTTAATTTAAAAATTATATTCATTAAAATTTTTGAATTTTATTAAAAATTTGACAAAATTATATGGCTGATCGACTTTATAATTTCCCGGCCGATGCACCAAAATTTAAAAGGGCTTCTGTTACGTCAAAACGAGAAACCTTTTTAAATATACCTAACGTTCCTCGTTTTAAATTAGTTTCATAAATGAATCTAATTTGGGATGAGGATAAGTCAATGAGCCTACTAAATGTATTGAGAGAATAATTTATTTAAAAACCAACAAGAAATAGAAGAGTTGACAAAAATACAATGAGTACAAAATTATAAATCTTACTTAAAGAATAACGATTACTGGTGGTGTGATGATAATCTGTTGTCCAATCTCAATTGTGTTGAGCGGTAGATGAAAAGGGGCCTTCTGCTTGTTGTCCTTAATGGTTGGGTATTAGCCCTCTTGTTTACACTAATGAGATAGTGTATTGTATTGTGAAAATATCTGCTTTCTTCCAGACGGTTGTCGCCCCTTAAGCAAATTTCGATGGTTCGAAATTTGGAATGTGTTGTTTCAATATTAGACTTTCGTTAATAGTTGAGTTTATTTCCAAATTTATATTTTTTGGAAATTGGTGAAATTTATACGTTGCAAATTGATGTATAATAAGAGGTCGATTTAAAGTTCACTTCAAATTTAATACTTGGGGAAATAGTTCACTTTTAAAGATGTACTTTCAAAAATAATATTTGGAGATGTACTGTTCACTTTTCAATAATGTTGTAAATAATTCGATGTGTTCGGGTTGATTCCCAAATAATTACTCTCTGGTCTCTTGTGCTGAACAATGTGTTCAGGTTGATTTCCAAATAGTTACTCTCTGTACTAAGCGATGTGTTCAAGTTGATTTAAAAAAAACTACTCTCTGGTTTCTTGTGCTGAACGATGTGTTTAGGTTGATCTCTAAATAGTTACTCTCTGTTCTAAACAGAAATGGTACCCCTTTTTATATCAAACTTTCCTCATTAATCTAATGCTATTTGAATGTTTGGCTCTTCGGTGCAACAAGCCTCCCCACTCGACGTGTGTTTAAATGTTTGGCTCACGACGTTCCATGTGCCTCTTCCTGCTTTATGACTTAATTCGTAGAACATGTATGTGTAATCCTTAATGATATATTTTGCTGTTTTCTATTCTTCCACGTGTCGAAGGTTGTCGAAAATCGTTGAAAATTATTATTCTGTTTACGTGATTCAACATTGCTTTTCTTCTTTTATGTAGTTAAGCTTTTAGTAGGTCATCTACTTGATGCATAATCGTTATTCTTTTTACATAGTTCAAAACATTACTCTTCTTTCTTTAATTTGTTATAATTTATAAATACATATAAGACATATAATAATGATTACCATATTTGTAAGATATACTAAAGCATATAGAGAGTATTTACAATATAATATATAGGCAAAATTAAAAGGAATTAAACATGTAAATATTATAGTTAAATTAAGTGTATGTGAAGAAGTTACGGACGTAACAATAGCTATGAGTGATTTTAATATTATGTACCTGCATACTTCTAAAAAAAGTAGTGGCCCACAATTCCCCGAATGCTTCATTTTACAAAAAGCTTTGTATTATTTTTTCATTTAAATTTCATGCAAAATTTTGTTTTTGGAATCGAAGTTAAAAAAAAGAAAAAATATATTAAAAATTTTTTTTATAAGTAGGCAATTCTTAAAAATCCTTGTAAAAACAATAAAAACATGAACGCCCTAAAATATTTGAATGCAATTTTCAGTTGGTTGTTGTTTACGACTTATAGGTAAAAATTTTGATTTTTGAAAAATGTTCAAAAAAGTTGAAGTATAAAAGAAATTTTTTTTTAATTTTTGAAAAATATTTAAATTTTTTTCCAGCACAATATTTGTTATCGTTTGCTAGGTGTAGCACAAATTTTGGTTTTTAGTTTAATCAAAATTTTGTTGAGAAAAAATGAAATGGCGTCGCCAATTTCTTGGACATACGTTCGTGAGCGCGTCAGTCTGAACGAGGCGCCATAGACTTTTTTGTTGATTTCTCGAAAAGTTATCACGATCTCACTATGAAACTTTTACGAAAAATTTCTTATTACTTTTGGCTATCATGATAAAAAAATCGGTAAGAAGGTGTTTTTCAAAAAATAAAAAAAAAAATTTTTTGAAAATTTTTTAATAATTAATGAAAATTTTTTTTTCTAAAAAATTTATTTAAAAAGTACTAGCTATACTGAGAAATTAAAAAAAAATTTTGAAAAAATTTAAAAAACAACCGGAGTTATCTTAATTTTAAAAAATTAGTACATACATTTTCAAATTTGAATAGGGGTAAGTGGGGCAAGACGGGGTACCGGCCCTATTTTACAAACGAATTAACCAATCGCGATTATATTTTACATAATATTGCACCGAGACAATAGTTTCTTGTTTATAAAACCTAAAAGCCATGAGAACAAATCTTTTATCTGTTTTATTAAAAAAACTGTTTTCGACGATTTTCTTGTGATTTTTTACTCTTCTTAGGAGGCGTTTATTATTTAACCCCTTCACAGTCGAGTGAAAATAAAGTTTTTGTGCCATAAGTGTTCAAAAAAATTTTTTTTTTAAATCATGATATTGTCATATTATATGTTTTTGAGGTTTTGAATTTTCGACAACGGATTTGGATTCAGCGACCCCGAAAACCCCTGAGTAAGGATTTTTAGCCAGATTCGTTAACTTTTAAATGTCTTTTTTTCGATGGCCCTATAGAGCCCATGGACATACAGGGCAACATTTTTCTTCAATTTCGTAGGTAGGGGCAAGATGGGGTAGAAGAGAGTGGGGCAAGACGGGGTACACAAATTAAGCAAAAGAAAAGAGAAATAAGAGAAGTTAAGAAAACTACTTAAATCAAGACTGAATAAAATAAAAGTGGCCAAAAAGAAAAAAGTTTGTCAGGTTAAATCATCAATTAGCGATGGTAAAGTGGAAAATGCACCTTGTCTCTATTGCAATGGTTATTATTTAGACTCAAATGAAGGCTGGGCTGCTTGTTCTGTCTGCGGCCAATGGGCTTTGAGCAGTTGTGCTGGTATCGATGTCAAAGATAAAAATGCAACCTTTACTTGTAAAATTTGTCGACAGAAATAGGTTGTTTTTTTAGTACCCCATCTTACCCCTACGGGTACCTTATCTTACCCGCCGGTGGGGTAAGATGGGGAGATTTGCAATTTTTTCAATATTATTAATTATAAGCTTTTTTAAGAAACAGATGGCCTTTGTACGCCTTTTTTACGAAAGACTGATTCCCAAAGATGATAATTAAAAAAAATAATAAAGTATATATTCAATACTTTTCGTTTTTTTTGCGCTTTAAACCTTAAGTACCCCGTCTTGCCCCACTCTCCCCTATTTTCAAATTTTTTTCGAAATTTTCAAAATTGTCTTCACTTTATCATATCTTATCCTTATAAATACAAGGAATAAAAGTTTCAAGAAAATTGCTAACAATGTAGAAAAATCGTTGATCATTTGACATGGAATTGCTCTATAAAGAAATTTTAACAGCAGAATCTGAAAGAGGAGTAAATTTTACATTAAAAATGGTATGTGCCAATTCTTTTATATGCATTTTAATAAAAAACGAAATCGTCAAAGTCAATTGAAATTTTTCGTCCGTCTGGTCCTTAATGGGTTACTGAATTGTTGTTTAACTAAACTGTCCTTTGTCCAACTTACACCTGTCAAGTGAAATTTCAGTCAAATGAGAAATCGGTTAAATAACAGTTTGACGAAATGAGATTTGAAGATTATTAATGTGCCTCGTACGAGTTAGTGAGTACGTGTCTTCTTAGTTAGTAGAGATTGTGTTAAGGAAAGAGAAAATAGAAAGAAATTATTGTTGGAGGCCGCTTTTCATACCCACACAGGACCGAAAGTCACTTAAAAGTTGAAATTAACTTGATCGAAAACTTCGGAAACTTTATTTGTAAATCTAATGAAACTTGAAGTAATTCTTTAACTGGCCACTGTTTTCCAATGTAAATAAAAGTTGACTAAACATTGAATGAAAGTTTAATATTTCTTAAATTTATTTTCAATTTCTTAAACTTTCACGCAGTGTTCAGTCAACTTTCGAGTCAAACATTGGAAAACAGTGGACATTTAAAGAATTATTTCAAGTTTCATTAGATTTACAAATAAAGATTCCGAAGGTTGCAGTGAAGTTAATTTCAACTTTTAGGAAACTATTCGAGATGTATAGGTACTTGGGTAGATCAATATTTTCATAATTACTTTGTTTAATTTTCAGATGGGGAAATTGGAACAAAAGATTGCTTCGATTCAAACATTTTCTGCCCTAAAGTGTCCTACCTGCAGACCATTGTTGAATAAACTTCAGAAATCGGAAAAAAAACTGGAGCGTCTTACTGAAGAAAGAACAACTCAGATGGAAGATTTACATCAAATGAAGTAATTACAATTTCTGATATTCTTTTTTTTATCATGTTAAGTTTCGATACTAGTTGAGAAGTCCGATCCTAGAAGACACGAGCTCTAATTTCTAACGTTTATTTATCTTCACTGACCTAAAATTACAACATATTTTTTGAAAAGATTTTTTTGTTTTTCCGTGTTCACTTTTAGACGTGAGGCGTTAAAAGCAGCAGTTTCAGAGAAAGATGCACATTTGGCTCTGTTGGAACTTTCGGGTTTGAAAACAACAATTCAGATTGAACAAGCGGAGAATCTTAAGGCAGAGCGAAAAATGTTACTGGAGAAGTTAAAAGAAGAGGTAAACGTTATTGAAATCGGTAGCAAGATAATTTTTATTAAAAAAATTACAAAATTCAATTTATATTTACTTTTATAGGACGAGAGAAGTATCGAGTTAACAGCAGAATCGAGTAGATCAAAAACTGAAGCAAAAAAAGAGCCTGTCAACAACCATGATCTTGACAACAGACATCGTTCCGAAAGTGAAGAAATGTTCTTTAACAAAGAACAGTTCCTGACAAAAGGGAAAATTGGGTATGATTATATTATTCACCTAAAGATTTGTTTACTTTTCATTTCTGTTTTAATTAACTAATTAAGAATACGTCAAAACTGTGTCAGCTTTTCTATTGAAAACACATGTAAAATTCGAAACGTCTTTAATATGCCCTTAAGGGGACGTCAAAGTCGATTTGATTCTTACATAGAACTTCAATGGAGAAATCGCATCGTCTTTGACATTGGTTCGTTAGTTGCTTCTGATCAAAAAACTAAAAATATTTTGACTCAACATTTTGTGAATGTAGTAGAAGATATAACACTGATTTAGGATTTTCTTGCTATTTTGCATTATTTTTTAAAAAATAGGACAAAAAACGTTCTAACCAATGTATATTTCCTACCTAAAATCGTGTCTCAATTTACAATTTTACATGGGAATCCTTATGGTTTCATTCAGGTAAAAGCTCCATGGCTTTTACATGGTTTTTGACATAAGGTCCCATGTAGATTTCCATGTGGGGATTTTCAATACAGTTATAGACGAAATTTCTAATTTAACTATTTAGGAAGTACGACAAAATAAAACTGTTGTCCGCTTCTCTTTTGTAGATTGAAATCAGTGAAAAAAGCAGTTCAAAAAACGACAACCACGTATTTGGAGAGGGCAAAGGAAGGCAGATAAGTAGACGACATTAAGAGTTGGTTCCTTCAATATTGTCATGTGTGCATTCGCAATTTTAGAAAAATCTAGATCATTTCTATAATCTTGAAGCTCGTTAAATTTTGTTAATGGTGTCTCTATTATAAAGAGACAGCACATTAATTCTTTTTACGCCTTATTCTTGATCATCTTTTTCAACATTATCATCATTATTAACACATGATCAATATGATCAATACCGTCATCAGCATTATTATCATCTTCACCATGAAATCGCCATTTCATCATTTCATCATGAATTCGACTTCCTGAAGCCGAAAAGAAGTTTAAATCCAAGGCGTTAACCGATTCGACCTCTTGAAGAAAAACCGAAGACTAATTCAGCCTGAGAAATATAGACAAAAATGAAATCTTAGAATTCCATAATAATATGGTCTTCTAATTATTATTTCTCGAGACCGAATTCAATAAGTCTCAATTTTTTTCAAGTCCAGTGCTTATTCTTCCAGTGTTCGATGAATTTTAGCTCATTGAGAGCGTGAAAGTCTTTTTTAAAAACATTATAGATACAGTGACAAAAATCTCATATCGCGAAGAGTGCAGAGAGTCCAATTTCTTACGGGAATTGTTTTTTTCTTCTTCTCATTAGTTAAATTAAATCGGAAAAAAAATTTCTTAATCGTGTTCAATATTGATCATTAGAAAAAATCTTTTCAAAGAAAGAAAAGCAGGGATAAACACTTTACGATATACACATTGTAGCCTAAAAACTGATTATTCAATTTACTCCTAATATATTCTGCCTATATTTCTGAACACCTGACACTGGGCCAAAAAAATACGCGAGAGTATTATTTTGACCTTCGATGATTATATTAGACGTCAATTTGATTAGAATATCTAGCTCTATAAAATGAGGAGGAATATAATGATCTTTCCATCAGTTTTTAAAATTTTCCACAAAGGCAATTTAATATTCACCGTGAAAGTATTTTCAAGCAGAAATTATTTTCCAAAAAAAGGGAAAAAGAAAATCTGATGAAAATCTGAGACGTTAAAAGAATACCTATTAAAACATTGAGAATCACCTGCAATCAGCATGATACAAATCAATATCCTCAAAGAGAAGCTAAATCGCAAAATCGATTTTTTTATATTTTTCATTGTCTTGAGGGACTTTCTCAGGAGAAAACAGAAAGAAAGCAATTTTATAGTTTAACATCAACAACAAATGTAAAAAAAATCGTTTAAAAGTATTTCACTTCTTCTTTTTTGCTTTTCTTTATTTCTCGTCACGGGTCCAAAGGTCGTCATTGTATAGCGTACGATTAAGTACTACAGTTAAAGATAATGAAAAGATAATCTAACGTAAGCAATACAATTTGTAAAATATGGTGTGGGAAAAAAGTTAGGGAGTTATAGAAAAGGGGTTGTTAAGAAAAAAAATAAATGAGAGTGAGGAAAAAATTGTCAATGGACGAAGAGACGCAACGAGAGAAGAAAAATAGATAAAAAAGCAGTCGGGCTAAGGTGCTGAATCGTTTTTATGATGACAATAATAACCATTCGTACGCATCTCGCGTCACTATCAACTCGGATAATTTCTTCTTTTCAATTATAAATTAGATCCCAAAATATTTTGTATTTGAATGTCAAATTACTCGTAGCTATTACTCTTCATTAATTTAAATATTAAATAACTTTTAGTTATTACAATTCATTTATTTGAATATTAAATAATTTTTATCTACTGCAGTTTTTATTTTCAAAAAAAATTTTTTTAATAAATAAATAATTTCACTACTTTATGAAAGTTAAATTAAAAGTGTAAGTAAAAGAATTTTATTCTAAATTTTAAATTAAAAATACGTAAATCTAAGATAATGTAAATTAAAAAAATTATTTATTTTTAATATAATATTAAAATGTAGAATTAAGTTCTAATAGTATTTGAAATTTAAAAAACAATTCAAAATCTAAAATTTAAGATTATAAAATTGACGTGTAATCATTAAAAAAGAAATCATAAAAAAATTGGAATAATATATATAAAATAAATTTAAAAAAATATTACGAACAAAATTAAAACAACAATTTTTGAATTTTTGAAATCCAAGAAACTATGATTTCAAAACAATTACTAAATTAATATTACTTTATATTCTACGAAATTAAATATTAAAATTAATTGAAAAAATCTAATAGAAAAATTAATTGATAAGAATTAAATTAATAATATTGAAACAATTATAAGAGTATAAAAGAAATTGAAAAAAGACTTGGAAAAGAAGATTATCCGAGTTACTTGATCTTTTGTAAATATTTCAAACAGTCTCTCAGTTCTTCGTCCAATTCTGAAAGCCTTTGAGTTAGAAATTATTATTGATGCAATTCGAATTGATAATATTTATTAAGAAAGAAATAAATGAAAAGAAGGTAATATTTAAAATCTTATATCTAATGGCGTGTTATGTATCAATTAAAAAAAAGACGTATGAAGTAGGGAAAAGAATCGTTTAGAATTCAAAGTCGAATTCTTGTATAAAGTTTTAAAAACGTGTTTAAAAAAAAGGAAAAGATAAAAGAGTCAATGTAACCAACAGAGTTAATCGCTATATAAAGGAAAAATATAATAGAGTGTTAAGAAATTATCTAACTCGTTGCTAATAAACCTTAATCTTCATTTAATGTCCACAAAAAAATATAGGCTGTTATATTTCTAGTCTTTAATAGTCTCAGGTCATGTTTTTATATAAGTTAAGAAAAACTCTAATGCACCAATCAATATATTAAAAAATATAATTGTTTATAGTAAATTCTCTAAATAAAAATAGTAAAACAAAGTGTTTAAAAAATCATATAGAACTTATTTAAAAAGAAAAAAAACTATGAACAATTAGTTTATTATATAAAAATAAATTATATTATAGAGAATTTTAATCTTAGTTATGTTGAGAAATTTTGTTTACAACGTGGTGATAGTTTATACATGCGTAAAAACGTTTATCAAAAAACAATGGATCAAAATAGATTTAAATAATTTTCCTTATTCATGTTCTTCTTCTTAACAACAGAGAAAAGATAATTTCCAACGCTCTATGTATAGTAGAATACGAATAAATGTTTTTTTGAAAGGAAGAAGAGGAGTATATAAAGTATCAGACGTGTAGAATATATTTAAAGAAAAAGAACCGCCTCTTTGCAGATCTTCAATGTTACCCCGAGTTATGAGTCGCGAATTAAAATTAAGAAAAAAGCTTTTATCAGCGGAAGTTCGACGTTAAGCTCCGCCTCGTGTACGAAAATTAGGTCCGAGGTGGAGATGCAAGCCTGTTAGACTAGACAAAGAGAGAGAAGAATATGTGTGTAAATTTAGTTAGCTAGAATAGAGAGACTGAAAGTTGCTGTGCCTGGAATGATTAAATGGATTTTGTTGAGATTGCAAGAAACAGAAAGTAATGAATACTGCGTTTGAAGATATTCATTGGAAGGCAATTTTGAATGTTCAGATAGATTAAATGAATGCAATGATAATTATTTAGACGGATGCTGCATTATGAGCAATTAAACGATCATTGTATATCCTGAGCATTTAAACGGAGACTGTATCCGGAAAATTTTCAGACAGATGCTGCATTTCTGACAATTGAGGGTTTAAGTGCAATAAGCGGACGCGCAGGCTATTCGTTAGCCCGTCTCGCAGCCGCAGAATCGCTGTACGCGGGGATTACCAATTCCATGCGTATCCCCTTATTGCTCGTAAACCCTCAATTATACGGATGCTACTTCTTAAATTATTACAGTGATGCTGCATCCTTACCAATTATTCAGATACTGCTTCGAAAATTTAACCAGTGCTGCATCTTTAATTTATAACAAATGTTGCAACTTTAATCAGTATATGAATGCTATATCCTTAACAATTAATCGGATTCTGCTTCTTTTAAAAATTTAGCACCTACTGCATCTTTGATATTTGTAAGGATCCTGCAACCTTAAGAATTATTCAGAAGCTACTGTTTTAAAATTTTAGTACTGCACTTCTAAAAATTATATAAATAGGTATGTTTTCGTTGCCTGCACTAAGTGTAGCTTTTACACCACCTCAAGAGTAGGTGCAGAAAGTGTAGCGAAATGTATGGTAAAATTGCGTCACATCCGGCAAAGAGAACAGAATAGTGCAGGTTAGGTGTTAAAGTGTAAGAAGTGCAGGCAACGAGAACATACCTAATGTCACATCCGTAGAAACTTAATAAATACAGCATATTTCATAATTGTGCGGATAGTGCATCCTAAAATGCTATGTAAATGCTGACTTCTTCCAAATTAAGCAATATTGCATCCTAAATAATTTATTATAAGAATGCTGCATTCACTTCAATTGTTAAGATGCTGCTTCTTTAAAATTTGCATAGATACAACAGTTTAGATAATTATACGGATGCAATTAAATTATACTTTCTTCAAAATTTAAGACACTGCTTCCTTAAAAACTATCAGATGCAGTATCTCTACTAAATATACAGATGCTTTTTACTGAAATACTACTTTCTTAAAAAGTCAGCAGATGCAGCATTATTGTTAATTGTACGGATGCTTTACTTAAACGATGCTTCCTCAAAATTTCTAGATGCTACATCTTTGATAATTGTACGGATGCTACAATTTTAAAGATACCAAAAATGCAGCATTCTTTAAAAATTAATCAGATGCTGCATCCTTAACAATTAAATGGACGTTGTGTATGTATGGAGAAAATGAAGAAATATGTTAAGGTTTGCGTAGAAGAGTTACAATAAACAATGTAAAAGATAATTATAGATCTGTAAGAGATTTAAGAATAAGAAAAATGCGATTTGAAATTGAACGGTGACAACGGGTTGTGCAGGACATTAGTTAACGTGCCACCGTCATATCAAGCCTATATCATCGTGTTACGTCGTGTATTAAAAAAAATTAATATTATATATCGTTAACGAAAACATTGTTAATGGAGTATGTATGTTTTACAAGTGTGCATGAATTTATCACCTCGTTCGTAGCTGGACCTCATTTTGAATAAACAGAAAAACCACACCCTGTAGACATTTTTCTCTTCAATCTTAAGGAATTGTTATTCACTATGAATTAACAGAAAAAATATATAGAATACGCACATATATAAATACTTATAATTTCTTCCGCTTAAGAAAAATGAAATTCACAAATCATTCAGTTCTAAATCTACTTAATGGAGATTTTTAATTCAACATTAAACGGGAAATATAAAAATCTTTATCCCCAATTAATTGGAATACCGATCTACGAGCGAGGATGATGGAATTAGAGCGTTTAAAAAAAAAGAAGTATCGAATTTCCTGTTGACCTATAGATTGTAATATTACTATTATTTTTATTATTATTATTATGCTAGCCAATTCAGAGTTTCAATACACCGTGTTATAGACAAAATTTATTCGATTAGCTTGAAAAACAAATACGACCGATTCTACGTCCGCTGCAATTCTCCTTATGTACCTATTTATTATGCATACCAATGTTTACATATACAATGTGTAAGAAATTACATACATAATATACATATATGGGCAATTCCACGTGAGATTTCAGTCGACCTCTTAAAATCGGCCGAAAATATTTTTTTTCTATTCTGTATTGAAAAAAAACAGATACGTATTTTTTTATTATTTTTTTGGAGGCCAAATTTTTGAGTTATGAATTTTCAAAATTTTCGCTTTTTAAATGTAGGTATATTTTTAATGTCAGATAACTCAAAAAATATTGCTTCTTTTTATTTTTTGACAAGAGAAAAAAAGTTTTGTTTTTCTCTCTACTTTTGAATAATCATAACAACAAATTTTTTTTTTCATTTTTTATTAAAAAATAAAAAAATTTTATAAACAAATTAATTTTTTTTAACTTTGGGTATGATAAATTTTTAATTTTCTTTTTTTAAAACATACCTGGAAATGATAAGAAGGTTTTGCAAAAAGTTTCAGAGTGGGCCTGACAAGTTTGATGGGTCCAAAAAAATAATTAAGCTGTCCATGCAGGTCGCACGCACGTGGCACAATGGGATTTTTTTACAATTTATTATTAAAAATTGTCTAGAGCCTACAAATTTTGTCGGATTTTGATTATTATTGAATTTTTAGGCTCTAAACAATTTTTAATAATAAATTGTAAAAAAATCAAATTGTGCCACGTGCGTGCGACCTGCACGGAGAGCTTAATTATTTTTTTGGACCCATCAAACTTGTCAGGCCCACTCTGAAACTTTTTGCAAAACCTTCTTATCATTTCCAGGTATGTTTTAAAAAAAGAAAATTAAAAATTTATCATACCCAAAGTTAAAAAAAATTAATTTGTTTATAAAATTTTTTTATTTTTTTAATAAAAAATGAAAAAAAAATTTGTTGTTATGATTATTCAAAAATAGAGAGAAAAACAAAACTTTTTTTCTCTTGTCAAAAAATGAAAAGAAGCAATATTTTTTGAGTTATCTGACATTAAAAATATGCCTACATTTAAAAAGCGAAAATTTTGAAAATTCATAACTCAAAAATTTGGCCTCCAAAAAAATAATAAAAAAATACGTATCTGTTTTTTTTCAATACAGAATAGAAAAAAAATATTTTTGGCCGATTTTAAGAGGTCGACTGAAATCTCACGTGGAATTGCCCATATACATGTATATGTATATAAATAAATAAATATAAATGTATTTATTTATTAAATACATAAACTTCA